TATATTTTAATGATTTTAGAAAGGAAGGGAGAGGGAGAGAGAGACAGAAACATCAATGATGAGAGAGAACCATTGACAGTGGCTGCCTCCTGCACACCCCCTACTGGGATTGAGCCCACAGCCGGGGCATATGTCCTTGGCCGGAATTGAACCCGGGACCCCTCAGTCTGCAGGCAAACGCTCTATCCACTGAGCCAAACTGGCTAGGCCCTTTGTTTTCTAAGTTTTCCAAAACCCTCTTTACTCATATTTCAACATTGTTCCTGCTCATTTGAACTTGTGTCAGATGCTGTACTGGGCAGTGATTTAAAGACACATACTCTTGAGGAGCTTACAGTCTAATCGGGAGAGAAGAAAACTATGCAAAACAAATAGACATGTAATTTCAGATTGTGTGACGTACAATGAAGGGAACAAATAGAATGCTCTGACTGAGCTTTGAGTGTCAGGAACAATCTCCCTGAGAGGGAACAATGAAGCTGAGACCCCAGGGAAGAGCCAGGGAACACAGTGTGTGCAAAGGCCCTGAGGCAGGGGAGAGCTGAGCGTGTTTGAGTTGCTGTGGAGGAGTCAGGGTAACAGAAGGAGACCGGAAGGAGCAATGAGATGGAAGGGGAAAGACTCAGCCGAAAGGAGTTTGACTAACTCAGGAAATCAGTGATTTGGTACAAACTACTGGTATGTTCTTTTTTGTTTGTTTTTAAGTTGGACCTCAGTTATGATCATGGCTTAATTAGAATTCTTTGCCCTGACTGGTTTGGCTCAATGGATAGAGAGTCAGCCTGCAGACTCAAGGGTCCCAGATTCCATACCGTTCAAGGGCATGTACCTTGGTTACGGGTATATTCCCAGTGTGTGTGTGTGGGGGGGGGGCGGGGGCGGAGGAGGGGTGTGTGTGGGAGGCAGCTGATTGATGTTTCTCATTGATGTTTCTAACTCTCCCTCTCCTTTCCTCTCTGTAAAAAAAAATCAATAAAATATATTTTTTAAAAAGAACACTTGAATTATGATTATGTTCAGCTTTGGTCTCTGCATGCCCCTCTTTATTTTTAAATAAGTTAATAATATAAAATCATTCTATCCAGGAACCCACCACAAGTTCTCAAAACTTCATTAATGCCAATAGCTTACTTTTAGCAATAGCTTTGCGGCAGCATTGGATTCTATAGAAATGGTGACACTTGGGGTGGTGTAACCTATTGGCCTTACTTACAATGATCCATGTACTTCCCCTTCCTGAGCAACAGAATCCTAAGAATTTTTTGCCTTATTTGTTTTTGGTGTTAAGTTCTATGAGTTCTTTATGTATTTTTGGATATTAACTCTTTTAGTGGATGTATCATTTGTGAATATCTTGCCCATTCAGTAAATTGTCTTTTTGTTTTGTTGATTTACTATGCAAAGACATTTAGTTTGATGTTTAGTTTAGTTTGACAGTCACATTTGTTTTTTCCCTTTTGTTTCCCTCATTTGAAGAAATATATCCTTGGGTAGGAGGAAGGGAGGCCCTGCACATATAATCCAGAACACAAAAAGATATTGCTAAGAGTTATGCCAAAGTGTCTATTGTTTTCTTCTAGGAGTTTTATAGTTTCAGGTCCAACATTAAAGTATTTAACCATTTTGAGTTTATTTTTATATATGGTGCAAGAAAGTGGTCCAATTTAATCTTTGTGTGTGTACTAGTATCTGTCCAGATTTGCCAACACCACTTATTGAAGACTGCCTTTACCTCATTGTATATATCTGTTTTCATGCCAATACCAAACTGTTTTGATTATTGTAACTGTGCAGATTAGTTTAATATCAGGGAGTCTGATACCTCTCAACGTATTCTTTCTCAATATTTTTTTGTTGTTATTGTCTATATTAAGTGTCTATTCAGGTCTTTTGTGGTTCTATACAAATGTTTGGATTAGCTGTTCCAATTCTGAGAAGAATGCCATATTGTTATTTTAAAAGAGATTGCATTAAATCTGTATATTATTATAGGTGGTGAGGATATTTTGACAATATTAATTCTTCCTATGAATGAGCAAGGTGCATCCTTCTATTTATTTGTATCTTGTTCTATTTTACTTTTTAATGTCTTATAATTTTCAGCATACATTCTTTCACCTTTTTGGTTAAATTTATTCCTAGTTGACCATTATTGGAGTATAGAAATGAAAAAGATTTCTAATTATGGATTCTGTATCCTGCAACTTTACTGAAGTAATTTATTAGTTCTAATAGTTTTTTAGAATTTAAACATGTCTAATAAACTGTTTCCCGTTATTCACCTTTTGATTTCAACAGTTACATTATTGGGTCTACAAGCCATAATTTAATTTTTTTTTTCTTTTTATACCTGCTAATTTTCTGTTCTATGCTTATCCCTGTGAATATTGCCTTCACTTTGTACATAAAACCAGATGCCACATAGGACTCTCTTTTCCATAACATCTGACAGTTCCAATCTTCACCATCCTTGAAGGTCTGTCTGTTTGTACCCAGGCATTGTGGGTTTAGTTTTCTGCACGTGGGAGGTCATTTTTTATTTTAATCATCCCTCTCCTGCTGGCTCAGGTTTTTCTCAGAATCATTGCTGCTCTAGTGGGCCCCATGAGTTAGGTGTTGACTCCTTGGTTCCTGAGACCCCGAAGCCCCAGTGATTCCTGCCTGGGGTCCTGGGATCTTGGCCCCCAAAGCCCTAATCTCACTGCCTTGGGGAAAGCTCTTGTTTATTTTTATTCTACAGGATGTGAGGTTGGTGTGGAGATTCTCTGGAGGTTTCACCTACCTTTTGTGATACCAAGAAAGTCTCAAGATTGTTTCATATCTGGTATCTAGTTGTGGAATGAAAGGGTCACTTATCCATGTGAATGTCTATAATGGCACTGAGATGAACACTCAGAAATGGTTCAATGGCAAATTTTGTTACGTTTTTCATTATAATAAAATAAAACAACCCCAATATTAACAAGAAAAGTTAAAAAAGTTTGTTAAGACAAATATAGAAGCTTACATTATTATATTTCTTTGAGAAATACTATTATTATTCTATTGCTTACCAGTAACATGCACAGATCATGGAGCTATATAGCTTCTGCCTTGTAATTTAATGAATAAAAAATATTCATAGAGTATGGGCAAGGGCTTCTAGAAAAATCATTTTGTCTAAAGATAACGGAAGCAAGAAAAAGGCAGGACAGTTTATCATTCAGTGTCTAAATAAGAAACAGGGCTTCTCACTTGAAGATAAAATAAATTCTAGACCTAGTGGAAAAGCATCTATAGTATTTCAAGTGGACTATTAGTTTGAGGTTGAGATTTAGCAGAAGCAGGAACAAACAAAAAACCTCACAAACCCCATCAAGTAACAGTATGATGGAAGTGATAACCCCATACTGCCTGTATTCAAATCCCAGCTTCATGGATAGTATGATTTTATATGACTAACTATGTGGCCTGCAGAAGTGATTCACTGGCAAACTTTCTGTGTCTCTATTTTTACTGGGTAAAACGCAGCTGAGTTGGACAGCAGTAAGCTGTGACATGTCTGAGTAGTCCATTACAAGAACAATGAGCCACCACAGAAGTAATAATCTTTTAACACTTAGGTCAGAAACAAGAAACTAAACCCATAGAAACACTGAATCCATGAACAAAAGACCCCTGCAGTTATCTGGACCCAGGACAGGAAGGAAAAGTACCGAGTACTGAGTCAAAGTGGAGAAGAGTATCATCAATCCCCACTCCCCCATAAGGAGGGCTTCACAGTGATACCCACCATAAAGAGGTCATCAAACAAGAGCACCTGGGTTCTCAATGTACATATGTGAAAGCATGGCCAGGCAGCGGGCCTGAGTGACTGACTGCAGCCTCCTTCAGAGCCTGCAGTGCCTGGGCTGTGCACCCAGCCTGGGGTGGGGAGGGCAGCTTTCCACCACAAGGCCTGCGGGTAAAGCCTCTGTAGCTCAGGTTGATCCTAGAAGATCACACACAGGTTTCTGAGCCAAGAACCAGACTCCTCACCAGGAAAAAGAAAACCAATCCATTCCTTTCTCTGTGTTGGAGGAATAGGAATATGGTTGCCAAACTCCCCCCACTGGGGTGGTGGAGTCAACTGAAACGGGTTAGTGGGTGGTCTGGCCAAGATGATGGCTTTTCTGGCCCCAAACATCACCCTTACTCACCTGGGTTTAGGCGGTCTTTCCTGGAATTGAGGGCTTCATTGGTGTCTGCTTTGTTCCTTTTCAGGCAAACCTGGCAGATGCTGTGACATTGGATGGAGGTTTGGTGTTTGAGGCGGGCCAAGCCCCCTTCAACCTGAAACCTGTGGTGGCAGAGTACTATGGGTCAGAAGACAGTAAGTTCTCACCGTGAGAGTTTGTGGCTATGGTTCTATCCTGATAGAACCTTGTTCTCTCCCAATAAGACTCTTGTCCTATTTAGGCAGGTAATGGAGAAGTGAGTAGGCAATGTGGTGCCCTATAGGTCCCCACAGGCATAACTCGGGCCTCTGAGGCTTTGGGCTGGTTGAGAACTGGTGCTGCTGACAGAGATGTCCTGGGCCAGGAAGTGTGCATAGCCTGACCTGAACCATTAGAGTTTAGAGCTGTATAGAGAGTCTTCCAAGAACCACAGGTGCCTCACTCAGAGAAGAGACGACACTGGAGCACACACTCTGAGAGTAACCTGACTATCTCTGAGCTCGTGTCCCTAGGTTCCAGGAAATACTTAGGAGTTAGGAATGTGATCTTTGGTTTCCAGGTAGCCTTGGGTTGGCAGGTGTAGGCAGACAACCTGCAGGGCGAGGGCAGGAAAAATCATTGAAGCCCACGTGCATGTGGCCTTCTGGCCAGTGTTTGCCTGGAGGGTTATACCAATGTCCCCTCTGTGGTCCTTTTCTTCCCTGCAAACCTGGGGAAGTTATTCTGATCTCTCCCTCGTTAGGATCCAACCCATCATAAGTGTGGCTTGTGGGTTCCCCTTCCCTGGTCAGGAGCCCAGCAGTGATGAGCAATGTTTCCCTGAGGCCCAGGTTGTGGGTCTTCCAGTCACACTGTCTCTCTGTAGATCCACAAACCAGCTATTATGCTGTGGCCGTGGTGAAGAAGGGCAGTGGCTTCCAGCTGAACCAGCTTCGAGGCAAAAAGTCCTGCCACACAGGCCTTGGCAGGTCTGCTGGGTGGAACATCCCCATGAGCACACTCTATTCCGAATTGCCCGAGCCACAGAAATCTCTTCAGAAAGGTAAGCAGGCAGGAGGGTGTGTGCCCTCAGGCAGACGTCCCTTCTTTAGGTGCCATAGGCCACCCTGAGGTCACTCAGACATGATCAGGGGGTCGTGTGCGATGATTCCTGGGGTGGAGGTGGGAGGTTAACCAGCTTTAAACTGGTTGGGTCTGCAACACCAACAGCCCTTGGGAGGGTTCGGCTGAGTCCTCTCTTCTCTGAGCTCCTGATACCTCAGCAGAGGCTGCCTGGAGGAGTGGGTGGGGAAGGGCATCAGGCCCGACAGAGGGTTCAGGCAGGACCAAGGTCAGTGGGCCCTATTGTCCACTTCCCTGGGGTGTCTTCTTTTCTGTGTTTCCCCTCCTGCTAGAGCATTCTCTGGTGGCTATGTGCTGGCCATGAGCTTGGCATGCACCTGTCCAGGTGGGTCTGTCATCTCCTGGGATTGACTTCCAGGGGAGACTTCTCTCTGAGCTGTTCCAGTGGGACAAGGCAAGGAGGGACTGACAGTGACCTAAGACAGGCCTTAGTTGGTGGCAGGCATAGGCCTGGTCCTTGGGGAGGGCGATGGGAGAATAGTTGTTAACATGTTTCTTTTGGGAAACCTTGATCTTGACCAGTGAACACATATATGTGCAAGTTGGGCCTGGTATGCTGGTTTTGTTCTGGTCCCTCTCTGTTTATGCATGAGCCTGGGTTGGGAGCTGGAATTGTCTTTAGCCGGGATGGCTCATGCCGTGTTCCACATTTCTGTATTGAGCAGCAGCGGCCAACTTCTTCGCGGGCAGCTGTGTCCCCGGTGCGGATGGGACAGCCTTCCCCAAACTGTGTCAGCTGTGCGCTGGGAAAGGGAAAGACAAGTGTGCCTTCTCCCAACGTGAACCGTACTATGGCTACTCAGGTGCCTTCAAGTGAGTGAGACTCCCCGTTCCTCCCCCTTTCTCTGAAGATAGTGAAATGAAGGCACAAGGATTAGGCAGGCTGCCCCAGACCATCTGCACGGTCAGTGTGAAACCCAGTTTCTGAGTGCCTCCTACCATCCTGAGGAGCAGTCTTTTGTGTGGGAGCCTCTCTCATCTCCCCATGGGGGGTCTATATTACCCCCCTGGACCTCCTGGAGGTTGGAGGGGATAGACCTGTCTCTGGGATTCTGGGATCCACAGACACAGGCTTGGGCTCTCGTCTGATTAAAGGCCAGGATCTCCCAGTTTGATTATTTCTGTCTGAGCATCTCCCTGTGTCTGGGACATGTGCTTGCCTCTCCCCACCTCCCTCTCAGCCCTATGAAGGCACCTCTCCCTACACTATGCTTAGTAAGAGAAATGGCTACCACTCAAAATCAGGCTGGGAATCCAAGGCTATCCAGAGTTTTGCTTTAAAAAGCTTTAAATCTTTTATTTAAAAAAAAAATCTATTGCTTTTGGCTGCCTTTGAAGTGAAAGGTGAGGGTTTTACTTCCACATCATCCCTCCCCAGAGTAGCCCGAGATGTGGCTTATAGGGCTCCTACCTGCTTCAGCTCTGGGCGTGGCTGTGGGGGTTCACATGCCCCTCACACAGGGCCATCACCTCTGTGAGGACAGATGGAAGTCTGGGGAACTGGGCAAAGCTCTGTGAGCCTGTGGCTGGGGCAGAGCCTCAGAGGGTCTGCACGGGGAGGGCAAGGCCCTGTCCTGGAGAGTGGCCTGACTGCAGCTGTCCTGTTCCTCAGGTGCCTGCAGGATGGAGTGGGGGAAGTGGGCTTCATGAGACATACGACCGTGTCAGGTAAGTGCTGGATGGAGGAGGAATTGCGTGCATTGCACCTTGGCCAGGGGACCTGATGTTTGCCTGAAAGTTTTCCTTCATCTAGAGATGGGTGATGACAAGATCTTAATGAAATAGGAGGGTTTCTGTACAAAACACATTTTTGTTATTTGTACGTTGTTTAGTGCTCAGTTTGTTCAGTCTATAATTCTACTAATTTTCTGAACATTTAAACATTACTTAACTAGGAAAACTAAAATAAGTTTCAATAATTAAATTCTCCCAGTCACTGAAATACCAATTTCACTTTTGATCACATTATTCTGAATGCCTCATTACAAATGGCTCCTAAAGGCTTCAAAAATCTGCAGCAAAACCCACACTACCGTAATGATTTCAGAACTTATTAGCACACATATATCTATTGCAAAAGCATTATTACTATGGACAATAATTTCTTCTTTGTTTCTAAATTTAAAAAGCAAACACCTTTCTGGGTTTTGGGTAATCTATCAGAAATAAACAAATAACAAAGAAGTTTTCAGACAAGATGAGGGTACAGACTTTGGGTTTTATAACCAATTAAATTTCTTTCCGCTATAGAACACAATACACCACTCAAGATCTTTAAAACCAATTGTATACTCGCTATGCTAGATCCATTTTAAGATTAGCGTCTGCTATCTCAGGGAAACTTTAAGTGCTTGCTTTCTATGTGGGCCTCCAGTTTCTCATTACCTAGTTTTTCTCTAACACAAAATAGGAGTTTCGAGTGTTTTATTCTCTTGTTCAGCCAATCACAATTCACTGTCTCCCCATTACTACACATTGACCTGGTTTGTTAGCATTTTGGTACACGATGCATTACTTATTACCAGTAATTTTAATTAGTGGGGTCATCTAGGGGTTTCATCTCCAGGATCAAGTTGTTCCAGATAATTGTCACTGTTATCTCCTCTGGTTGCTCAAGTTATCACAATTATGTCCCAGGGCAGCGCCCTCTAACACTCACCCTAATGTGTTTAAAACATCCTCACTTTCTGAAAACAACAGGTTATCCTAGACCATCCCGATTATCTTTGCTGAAAGCCATTTGTCTATTGCTGTACAAGACCCCTTATTAAAAGTAGAAGTTTATGAGAGAATGTCCACCGGGCTTTAGGATGAAAATTAGTGTTGGTGATGAGTGATTGAGATGGAAAAGTTATTTCTTTCTGAATCTATTAGATCATATTGGATATTTTAATTTAATTGTAACATTATAAAATCATTTAAAAGTTTTAATATATTTAAAATGTTTTTTCTTTATGACATACCTAATTTAAATGATAACATTCACAAGAACTCTAATTGTATTCCTTTTCTCTCTCACTTTTTTTTTTTTAAATGTTTTAATTGATTTCAGAGAAGGAAGGGAAAGGGAGAGAGGGATAGAAACATTAAAGATGGGAGAGAATCATGGATTGCTGATCCAAGACACGTCATGGATCGTTGCCTCCTGGGGATCAAGCCTGCAACCTTGGCCCTGACTGGGAATGAAACCATGACCTCCTGGTTCATGGGAGAATGCTCAACCACTGAGCCACACCAGTCCAACCTCCTTCTCTTTTGATAGATTTTATCAACCCCCAAAGGCCTTCTGTATGAGTTTGGTAGGGCTGCTATAACAAAGAACCTTAAGCAACAGAAATTTATTGTTTCATAGTCCTAGAGGCAAAAGTCCAAGATCAGTACGTTGGCAGGGTTGGCTCTTTCTGAGGCTATGAGAAAAATCTGTCCCATGCCTTTCTTCTAGTTTCCAGTACATTGCTGCCAGTCTCTGGTGTTCCTCGGCTTGTACTACGTTATCCAATCTCTGTCTTTCCTTTCACATGGCGTTCCTCCTGTGTGCATGTCTGTTGGTGTCCAAATTCCCCCTTTTTATAAGGGCGCCGGTCTTAATGGAGTAGGACACACTCACTCCAGTATGACCGCCTCTTAATTACATCTGCAAATGACTGTTTCTAAATAAGGTCACAATCTGAGGGTCCTGGGGATCAGGACTTTGTAACGTGAATCTTGGGGGGGGGGGGGGGGGGGGAGGGAGCATAGTTTAACCCAGAACACCTTCTAATAGTTAGACAAAGGGAACCAAAGAGCTTGCTTTCTTTACAAGATTTTCTGGTCCTTCTCTGTACCTATAGAATGCCCTGACCAGCTCCTCAGCCCCTGTCCATCCCTCACCTGCTCCACCACCTTTCTCTGATGGGTTCTGTCTTCAGGGAGAGACCAGGATTGTCCCAGCATGGCCACATGTCAGCCTCAGATTAGCAAGTTTGATGAAGTTACCTAAACTCTCTGAGGCTATTTTCTTTTCTCTAGAATGGGATAGTTGTCCTAGCTGGGTTGGCTCAGTGGATAGAGAGTCTGCCTGCGAATTAAAGGGTCCCAGGTTCAAGTCCGGTCAAGGGCACATGCCCAGGTTGCAGTCTCCAAGGGGGAGGTGTGTGCAGGAGGCAGCCAATCAATGATTTTCTCTTATCACTGATGTTTCTATCTCCCTATTCCTTGCTCTCTGAAATATATATTTAAAAAAATAGAGAGGGGATAGTCACATCCCCGGCCTCCTCCAGCTGTTATGAGGATTAAGTGGCAAAGAGCATGGGGTGACTTCAGCATGGTGTTTGGTGTGCTGTGAGAGCTTTGTAAAATCTGCTGTCACATTTCATATTAGCAGAACCATAGGGACAGGGGCAGAGGGAGGGCTCCAGGCCAAGCATGCCTCCTCACCCTGTCTACTCAGTCATCTCTTCTCCCAAGGCCTCAGGTTCCTCATCTGTCGAAAATGTATTTGGAAAAGATTCTCTTTCAGTCCTCTTAGGCTTGTTAAAAGAATGACTGAAGAAGACAGTGTTGGTTATATAAACAAATGTATTAACACTTCATGAAGTGGGCAGTCTCCATTTGGGGAACTGCAAAATGGGGGAGGGGGAGGGAGAAAGCAGGAAGCTTTTATAGGACAAAGAATAAAGAACAAGGAAGAGACACACTGGAAACATCTGATTGGCTGGGGCCACACTGTCAACCTTGTCTGGGCTGAGAAGGAACAAAGAAAGAAGTAGGAAGAAGTAGGGTTGGTGGAGAAGACTGGGTGGGTACTGCGCTTTTGGTCACGCAGAGCATTACAGGGACATGAAAGTTACCTAAGTTTTGGTTTGTTGACGTGGCATCCTGGGCAGGAGCGGGTCCATCTTGGGCCTAGATGGTTATTTCAACAAGGTCAAGTGGTTTGTG